TGGTCCCATCTTACCTGTTAGAGTGTCACAAAGACCAAATAAAGGTGTACCAAAACAACTATATGAACCAGATCCAAACTCTAAGGTCAAATACCCTATCAGTAACCACATGTCCAATCATAGGTTGTCAGAATCATATATTGCATCTGTTAATCAATTGTCTAGTATATTTGTTCCTAACAATGTGCAGGATGCTTTGAATGATCCAAATTGGAAGGAAGCCATGAATGTAGAAATGAAGGCCTTACAAAAAAACTCAACGTGGGACCTGGTTCCTTTACCAACCGGGAAGAAACCAATTGGATGCAAATGGGTGTTTACTGTGAAGCTTAAAGCAGATGGCAGCCTTGACAGATATAAAGCCAGATTAGTTGCTAAGGGATACTCACAAAAATATTGGGTTGATTACCAAGATACATTTGCACCAGTAGCAAAACTGAACACAATTCGTATTCTGATTTCTATAGCAGCTAACAGGAACTGGCCACTCAAGCAATTTGATGTAAAGAATGCATTTTTAAATGGAGACTTAGAAGAAGAAGTGTATTTGGAAATTCCACCAGGCGCCAAACATGCCAACTTGAAGGGAAATGAAGTGTGTAGATTGAAAAAAACACTATATGGCCTCAAGCAATCACCTAGAGCTTGGTTTGGCAGGTTCTCTCTAGTCATGAAGAAGTTTGGATACAAACAAAGTAATGCAAACCACACCCTATTCATAAAACATAATGGAGGAAAGGTAACAGTGTTAATAGTGTATGTTGATTATATGGTTTTGACTGGTGATGATTTATTTGAAATGGAGTTATTGGAAAAACATTTAGCAAATGAGTTTGAAATGAAAGATCTAGGATCATTAAAGTACTTTCTTGGAATTGAAATTGCTAGATCAAATAAGGGAAATTTTTTGTCACAAAAAAGTACATTTTAGATCTACTTGCAGAAACAGGAATGACAACATGTAAACCAGCAGAAACACCAATCAAAATGAGGTATGTATTGGGTTTATATCCTGATCAAGTACAGACTGATGTTGGTAGATATCAAAGGCTAGTAGGGAGGCTAATTTATTTAACATACTAGGCCAGACATTGCTTATGCAGTTAGTGTTGTGAGTAGATTTATGCACAACCCAAGTGAGGATCACATGGCTGCTGTGTATCGAATATTGAGGTATTTAAAAGGGTGTACAGGGAAAGGTCTGCTTTACTAAAAAAATAATAGTCCTGGAATTAAAGGCTACACAGATTCAGATTGGACTGGAGATAAAACTAGCAGACAGTCAACTTCGGGATATTTTACTTTTGTTGAAGGCAATCTAGTTACTTGGAAGAGTAAGAAGCAGAAAGTTGTGTCTAGATCGAGTGCAGAAGCAGAGTTTAGAGGAATGGCACATGGAGTGTGTGAATTGTTATGGATTAAGAGCATCCTACAAGACTTAGGAATCTGCTACAATCAACCTATGGAGTTACATTGTGATAATAAAGCTGCTATTGAAATTGCCCATGATCCAGTTCAACATGATAGAACCAAACATGTAGAAGTGGATAGACACTTTATCAAGAAAAAGCTAGATCAAAAAATTATTCAATTTTCTTATATCAAATCTGAAGATCAGTTAGCCGACATCTTGACAAAGGCTGTATCAGGAAAAGTGTTTGAAAAAACAATTAGCAAGTTGGGCATGATTGATATTTATGCACCAACTTGAGGGGGAATGTTGAAATGAGATAATATTTGTTGAGTTGTACAATTGTTGGAATTTTAATCATTGTTGTACAATTGTTGTTAATTTATGCTACTTTAGTAACTCTACATTTCTATTCTCGGGTATTTAGCGTTATTTTTGTTGTCCAACTTACAAGCTAAATTGGGCTCAAACCTTGGTTTTGTATTTTTTATTTTATTGCAAACCTTGAATTTTATTGTTCCTTTCGAAAGTACTTTTAGCTTCAATTTAAGACTAATTTTATTCTATCAAGCTCAAAATCGTGAGAATCAATTAAACTTACCATTACTTTTTTATACGGGAAATACAAGTCTCTTGTCGTAGGAAACTTATATCTTGTGCCATAAACCCTTTGATAGTTGTGCTGTCATTCTCTCTCTCTCTTTTAGTAATGGGCCTCGTCACTTTGTGTCTTAATATAAATTATGCTATCTCATATTACATGAGAATAGACAAGTTCATTTTATATAGGGGAATGATCTGTTTACAAACTTTTTTTTTACAAATTACAGTAAGTATGACCGATCATACACTTTTGATCGAAGTATACCGGTCATACTTAATATAGTTTATAAGAGTTTGTAAACAAAATTTTTATAAATATAACCTTCCCCTTTTATATATATATAAACCCGGCTAAATCTTATGTGCTAGGGAACATGTTAATACTTAAAGTCCATTTGGTGGACAAGATCAGGGGAGTAGAATAAGATATAATATCTAATCTCATTCTTATTTGTTATTTGGTGAGTCAATAGAATATGATAAAGTTATCCTATTAACTCATATTATTATACTCTCAACCTAATAACTAATCATGACAGTGAGCTGGGTTAGAGTCAAAGAGGATAAGATAAAAAAAATTTCCCCCAAAAAACCCTTTGCCTCTTGGGAACATAAGCACCCGAGACCTATCCCTATCACAGTCAGCCACCGCCATCAACCCATCGGCCAGTCACTGCCATTGGCTACCATCACCGTTGACGAACCCTTGATACCAGAGTATGAATTAGCATAGCGCATAAGAAGCACGTTCACTGCTACCATCACTGTCCATGATTTTTGTTCTGAATACGGTGAATTGTTGTTTTTGACTTGTCTAATGCAAGTGTATGAAGGGACTTGAGGTTTCGTGGTTCGAGAAGGAAGCATTTGAAATCAGGGTGGAGATCTCATTCAAGATCTTCGTTTTTGGGTGCGAAGATTGAGATATTGTGTGTTCCCAATGTGTCTTCTAGTTTATGCAAAAGCATGACTTTTTCAACTAACTCTACTAGTTCTGTCTAATGCGAGTCCAGAAAAGTCATAAGGATTGAGTTTTAGTTTATCTGACCCTAACCCATTGTTGTTTTATTGATGAGAGGGAGGATGTGATGGTTGGTAGAGGAGAAAGAGGAAAGTGCATAAGATGCGGAGCTTCGTGTCGCCATACGTTTTTGAATATATTTTATTTAAAAATTATGTTTTTAAAATTTATAAAAAAATTAAGATAATAACTAATGTATAAATAAGTGAAAAGAAAAAAAAATAGTTTAGAAATCAATTTTAAAAATAAATATATAATTTTTATAGAGGGTATTTTTGTATATTTATATTATATCTCAACATTATCTGTTTCATTTCAAACATAGGATGAGATAATATAATCATATTATACTATTTATTCAATGCGCATTAAACATAAGATAAGATATGAGTTTATTAAGCTCTTATCCTTTCATACTCTTATCCAACCATGTAAAGATTATCAAACGTTAATCACTTTAGGATTTTCAATGCCATGTCAAATTAATTATCCAAGAAATTTAAGCGGTTAGTTGTAACACCCAAAGTGCTTTTTACATATAACACAAAACTCGGTTATTGATTGTATAATACAAGCCGTGATTCCTAATAAGGATTCATGTATACGATGCAAAGGACATTTTTCTCTTATTTTTAATACAGCTTACGGACATACATATACATAATGTGATCTATTTATCTCATATTGTATGAGATAATTATCTCATACAACAGAGATAAAATAGTGGGATCTACTATTTTTTTTAAAATGAAAAAAAAAATAGTGCACCCCACTACTTTGTCTCTCTTGTATAAGACGAGAAAATTATTTTCCATACATAATTATATAAACATGGACTGTTTTCAAACTCTCTTTTTTCCTTTCTTCCTAAAACTCATAATTTTGTCTTCAAAGCGCAAACGACATATTTAGCTTTGAATTCTAATACGCTAAAATAACGAACTGCTTTAAATTAGATTAGAAGTGAATATACTGAGCACTATAAAAGTAACCTAACTGCTAAAAAATTTTACTCCCAAATTTACCATCATATATAAAATCCTGATTTTACACGGACTATTGCGATATGACCACACCCATTTTCCCTTCAAACCTGAAACCCCATCCGAGTATTTTATAATCAGTTTAACCAATGCAGCTTAAAATACCTTATTACTTAACTTTGAAGGTGCCTAACGTTACATTTAAATAGCCCCTGATCTAACATTTAGAAAAATAGAAATAAGAAAAACAAACGAGAATGCTTATTTTAACATTAGAAAGGTGAGTCAATTTAGTTTACAACTCATAAAAACTAAAAACAGACAATCCATAAGATTTTTACAGTGAAGATACCCAATTCAAAACAATCACACCTTTTTTTATCAAAATACTGCCAACCAAATAAGTGGAAATATGGCACAAAGGTGTACTCAGACGTATTTTTTTCATAGACATATTCTCTTGTTAAACACAATAACAAAGATCTACGTTGGTTGCACTCGAATCAACACCAAGTATCAAAACATTGTTGGCCGCTCAAATGCGGCATATTGTCACAAGATCGTAATTTGCATCGAACTAGCACTTCACTCATCCCAACGGATTAAGTTTAGATGATGGTGCGCCAGTGAATCTCATTAATTTTAGAGTAAATACCTTTTTTTATCTTCAGCACATTTTACGATGCCCGTTTTAATCCCTAACAAATAAAAAAGACCTATCGTGATTCCTAAGAAATTCAAAATAGACTCATTTAGTTGAAATCGTGGTCTCTCACAAATTCAAAAAAGACCCATATTAGTCCTTAAAAGGACTAAAATAGGTCTATTTTGAATTTCTTAAGGACCACGATGGACCTTTTTATTTGCTAGGGACTAAAGCGGACATCGTGAAATTTCCTGAAGACAAAAAAAAAAGTATTTACTCTTAATTTTAAAATAAATTTCCTGCTTGCAAAACTTAAAAAAACATTTAAAATACATTATCAATTTCATACTAACTCGTTGAAAAGTGCAACCGGTAGGCTGACATCCAACATTCTTGTTTAAACGAAATAAAGCCAAATTGGTAGCAGCACATCAAACAAGTTTAGGCCCTACAGAATCAGCAAACGGATGAATTACCAAGAAAACAATTCTGGTACATTAATGATTTTCCATCAAACAAATTAAACCAACTCAAACATAATGCCAATACTGCCCAAGAATGGGACAGTAACTCCAGAGAACCACCTGCTTTGATCCGTAAATCAACCGCTACCTGACAGCACCTGCAAAAAAGTTCATGCTTCTTTTAAATAACCATTTCAACCCAAAACCTTAAAGTATTGAGTGAGGGCCTTTTCAATAGTTTATATTATTTTCTAAAACATCCCCTCACGCAAGAGCCATTTGGGCTTGAGGCGTAGATATTGCATAGTCCAATTTTTTTTGGTTTAGCTTATACTTATTTAATTCCACAAATAGGGGGCAGTGAGGATCGAACTTGTGACCTTGTGATATTGAGTAGGGGCTTTTTCAATAGTTTATATTATTCTCTAACACTTCTTAATTCAGATATAGATAAAAAATTTCTATAAGAAATGTAAAAGCAAAAGAAATATACAAACATGAACTAAAACAAGCGTGATTTACATTCTGTTTCGGTAAAACAAATCAAAAGAAAAAATGAATTTATCACCCAGAAGTTCAATCCTCACTTGAACTTCGAATAAGCATGTTATAAAAACGTGCTTTTTATAACACTTAAAATTTCAGTTGTTCCAACTTTCTGTAATCTTAGTTCTAAACAAAAGAAAAGAATGCGTACAAAGTCGAGAAGACACAAGTTAAATCCTAAAATACATTGATTTATTGGAAAAAACTTTCAATTTTTGAATCACTACTTCAATCAAAGAATCTTATGGTGATTATCAATCAGTTAATTTAAAAGTGTTATATACCTGGCGTGGAGATCCAGATCGTGAACGTGATCTTGGCCTGCAAAATTGAAGAAACAATTCAGGTGCATAAATATGGTAGATTTAAAGCAACACAACCATATTTAACAAAAGTATGCTTTGTGTACCTGGAAGATTTGATTGGTGATGCTGATCTGGATCTAGATCGTGACCTAGACACAGATCGCTCCAAAGATCTGCTGCAGAATGAAACAGGACCTTCCATAAGTAAAAGTAATGTCTAAACAGGACAATGAACAATAAGAAAGTGGCAATACCTTCTAGCCCTCTTTGGACAGGTGTGAAAGAATTTATTAATTGGCTTTGCATGATGCAGTTTAGATGTTATGCCAATGAATTTTATAAAGGGAGGATGCTGAGACGGCTTGTTGAACAGGTCACCAGCACAACTGACAATGGTCATGAAGTACATCTCGATCTGGATATCTTAGTTGCGTGGGGCTGTGAGGAGGAGTTAGGTGCCAGTGAAGGTGAAATAACTTGTGTTCATGAAGAAAGAAAAATTGAGATTTCTAATATGGCCAAGAAAGTAGTCGAGGAAAGACATGCACTTGCTGCACGATGGAAGAATGTGGAAGTTGTAGCACAGCCCCTTATTGTTAATGACGTCGAAGAAGAGCAATGGGATCCAGGTGGAGCTCATCATGCACTGCATATTAGTTGGCCCTCCCATTTCAAGCAATGGGATCCAGGCATAAGGTTCTTGAGGGCTAAACCTCACCTTGAGGACAAGGTGAGTGTTTAGGGGGGGAGTATTGATAGGAACCCCACTAATGGTTTATCATAAGAATGGCCACAGGGAATTATTTAAGAAGGATGAGTCAGCTAATAAAAGGAATATTCAAGAGGTAAGGTTGTTGGAAGGCTCTAATTCTGTTAGAAGTGATGAGGTGGCAAAGAGAGTTTGGTGGTTAAAAGGCAACAGGGAAGGGAGGAGAGTCATCTTTGGGCATTTGGAACTTTGGGCACCTTAGGGTGATTTGGGAGAGACTAGGGGCTCTATAATTCCTCTAGAGTTTTAGCTTATGTAATTAGGATCAGTCACTGTAATTTGTCTCTGTTTTCCATTTGTAATTGTCTTTTGGTTTCTTTGCATTCAGCATTATCTTTAGTGAAATATACTGAAAATTCAGATATTTTCTGGGCCAAACACTGCGCATTCTCTTTGTTCTCTGATTATATGATTCAGTTTCTATCAAAGTGCCTCGGGGAAAGATTTTACTTTCACATGAAAGAAAGGAAACCTCTAATGAGGTTTTTTGGGATTGGGAAGGTGGACTTTTAGTCCCTTCAAATGGTATTATGAAATTAAGAACAAAATCAGATATGATGCCGTTGAGGCAAAATTTAGATCCTTGCTATTTTAAGTCATCATTGGGCTTATATAGCCTTGAGGGTAGAGAACTTCACCTATGAACTGTGGACTCCAAACTGATAATAAGGATGATTACTACTTATTAGAAAGTGTTGCAGGTTAAAAGTAACGGGTAAAGATTATTTTGTCCCTTCATTACAAAGATAAACAACAATTTTAAGGTGTTAAGCACCCCAGTAGAAACACAACAAAAAGACATTCAAAAACCTGTGCCTACTAAGAGAGCCGGCTTTCATTTTTATTATGCTCCTTTCTTCAATCTTAATCTTACTATTTCAAACAATAGAATCTGAATCATGAACATTCATTTTGCATTTGTATGTTCCTAGGTTATTAAATTCAAGTCCCTGAAGTCTCATAACAATATTTTTATTTTTCATATAAGTTGACTTTTGCTGATAAAAGGTATAGAATCTAGGACAGCTACCGGCAAATTAAGCTTCAAGAACTAAATTTTGCAATGAAAACAAGCAGAACCCAAAATTAAAACAAAATAAAGGGAGCATCCAACTACATTATTTATGTTTTATTAGGCCGTGATTTCTTTTATATTTCTCAGATGTACCGAAATATACAAAGCATCACAACCTAACTCCAATGTAAACATAATAATTCATGGTAACAGTCTAATAAAAACATAGCAAAACACAAACAAAAATGGAAGTTTACCTTCACTATCACGGGAAACCTCAGCAAAACAAACATCACCAGCTTTTCGCATATGATCCTGAAACCAAATATTCAAAACATAGTTAAGTGATTTAAATATACTTATTGATTTTTTACGTATGAAAATTCCAATACCTTCAAATCTTGCCATGATGCAGAAGATGGGAGTCCACGAACAATAACTGTAGACAAAAATATAAGGTGTTACACAATATCATGAAAAATATGAAACCAGTAATACCTTGAATAACTAGGGTCGATTTGTAGTAATACACATAAAATAGTTATCTCGTAGATTACAAAACATATAAAGCAAAGAAAACACATGCAAAACAATTTTTTGAAAATGGAAAAACTTATACATATGCAGTCATAGTCTCGGAGCTTGCAATGACTTGGAATGACAAATATGCATCTAAAAAAGTTTGAATTCTTAGTTCAAAAATGATAAAAATAAAATTAAAAAGCAAAATGGGTGAACAGTCTGAAGGAAAAAATCATTTAGCATATGCTCCTAATCCTTTTCTGTATCGAAGAAAAGGATTCTCCAATTAGACACACAGATATTCAGAATGTCATACTTGTACACATACAGTTTATAGTCATGGACCATGGTTCCAAAGTTCTAAGCATTAAGACTGCCTTGTAATGACTTGGAATGAGATACAAACAAAAATTCATTTCTTAATTCAAAAATGAAAAATATAACATGAAAAAGCATAACTAAATGGGTAAACAGTCTGAAGGAAAAAAATCATTTATCATATGCTCCCTATCCTTTTCTGTATCAAAGAAAAGGATTCTCCTAATAGACAGACCTCGATATTCAGAATGGCGTGAGACCCCAAAACGCCCCCCACCACCTCCATCACCGCCGCCGCGGCCGCCACCGCCACCACCACCTCCACCACCACCTCCACCTCCACCTCCACCGCCACCGCCACTGTATCCCCGTCGGTCACTTGATGATGGCCCTCTACTGCCATGGGCAAGCTCCACCTACAACAAGAACATATTAGACACCAAAAAAGTATTTATCTAACAAGAAAAAAGTCAGTACAGCTCCTCACCCTTAACCTACAACCATCGAAGTTGTATCCATCTCGACCCCGAATTGCTTCTTCTGCATCTCGAGCATTGTCAAACTAGCAATGCCAACAAAAAAGAAATAATCAAATGGCAGAAGAAAAGAAAACCACACACGTACACAACCAGAGAGAACTGAGCACAAACAAATACAAAAGAGAATAAAGACAATACCTCAACAAAGCAATAACATGGAGGGCGGGGAGGGATCTTCAATTCAATATCCATTATACGGCCATACTGCAGAGGGAATACCATTGTAGCGCAACTACATTAGTACACAACTAGGACAATCCTGAAAGGTGTGAATGGTGCTTTCTGCATTTCTTAAGACATCAAGAGCAGGTGGAAGATGAGCTCCTTTTTATCCTTTTTCATTAGTTAGAAGATTGTCACCTAACAATAACCATAATCCTTTGTGGTCCATCCCATTTCCAAGATGACTTTACTTTGGGTTTGAAGTAGCAGAATTATGCTGCACAAGGAGGGAGTAAGCTGATTTGAGATTAAAAACTCCATCGTTGGACAAGTTCAAAATAACTCAATCTTGGGAATAACGATCTTGTGGGGGCATGATGTTAGCAATATGATCTACTGCTTCCTTAGGAATTAAGTGCTGGAATTTGTTCCAGTCCCAACAGCCCTGACCATTAACAAAATCAACCATCTTTAGACACAACACAACAGATTAGGTTGAATTGGTTAGGAGGAGAAGTTGCTCAAGGTTGGGTAGCCAATTATTACTCCAGAAATGAGCTAGTTGATCATTTCCAAGTAGAATCCTAGAAGCATTAGTAATTTTGTCCCAGTTCAGTGAGATTCCTCTCATTTATCTTGGGGATAAGGTCCATGCCCAATCTTGATATGTGACTTTTTAATGATCATGACTTGATCCCCAAAGAAAGCTCCTCGTGTATTTCTCCACCTCATTGCACGTACCCAAAGGAATGAAACTAGTTGGCACGGAATAAGAAGATAGAGCTCCTAAGACAGATCGACTTTATCAGATTCAGATTCATCAACAAAACCATTACTTTAATAATCTGGCAGACCATCGTCTTCTGTTTACTTGATCTTCTTTCCCCAATCAACCTGCCTTATCAGCACGCTGCATCCATTCGGTACTGGCTTCGTCTCCATATAAGAACCGGCTATCCTCACCTCTGGCACGATTGGCAACCTTGGTAGAAGCTATTCTACAGGAGCATTCTGGAAGTGGATGTGAAAGGAACATAGCTGGTTTTGACAAGAGAGATTGCCTTATGAGGCCTTCTTCTGTCATACTTTTGTTAAGATGTTCATGGACTAAAATTGTCCAATTATGCTTTGGATGGGACAAATTTTCACGAGTGATGTTGAAAAGTTCCGCAATAACTTTCCTGTTGAAGACCAGAGAGCAGTGTTACAATAAAATGTAAAATGCAGGGATATATCGATAGATAACTTCAACAGATGATAATTCTAACCAAGTAGGTTATGCAAACATAACAAAG